ATGATAGTTAATGAATATACAAATTTAAGTCAGAGTTGACACTTTGATCTTCTAAAACTTCAATCTAATTACATTTAACATTCTTTTTTTTTTTTTGCAAGGAACCCTTTCTTTGTAAAGTGCAACAAACCATTTTTTGTGGTGTCCTATGTGTATCTGGTTGTCTACTTATGTAAGAATAAGTGCCACGCCCTGACTGGAGTGGCGCAACTCTTCCTACGCATGTCTTACTGCATGTGTCTTACTGCGCATGCCTTAATGTCTGTCATTCTAGCACTTGAGAGGCTACGGCAGGAGAAGCTTAAATTCAAGGCCAGCCTGGGCTCCTTTTTAATGGGCCCTGAGACCTTAGCACAGCTGATGTCATATCAGAGACACCATTCTGATCAGCATGTAACCCAACACCTGCCAAAACAGGAGCAAAGACCCAATCCATCGAAGACCTAGTCCTTAGCTCCAGGATCCAGAAAGTCCCTAAATGTACGAACCTTGTTTCTTTGGCTCCTGTAGTTTTGCTTCTTACTACCTGTTCTTGCTAACTGCAATGTATCTACCAGGATGTGGTTTTGATGCACAAAAGATAAAGAATGGTGATGCTGGGGGCCGCATGATTTGAACAAGCGCCCCTTGCAGTTGCCAACCAGTAATACAGACTTCCTATCTGCTCCAAGAGTGTCTGTGCACGTTCTCTGGTGGACTTGCCATGGAACAACATGCTGAGATCTTCTCAGGCTCTCCCTACCCCTGAGATATAGCGGGTGCTGTGCTTCACACCAGTTCCGTCTAGATGCAAATACATACAAATGTTTAGTGCTATAAATGTTCCCTGGCGTCTGCAAACAGTGGCTGCAAATATCCCGGGGCCTTCCGAGTATATTCAGGAACTGAAAATTGGTAAGAAGTGGGGAAATGCACACTTAGGCTTGTCACCAAAGTTAATCTCCTTTGTCAGTTTGATTGGTTTTCAGGATCACCATGGAAACACATCTCTGGGTGTCTGGATGAGGGTGTTTCTAGAAATAAAAGCCTGGATAAGATCCACACCATCACAGGCTGGGGTCTGGACTGAATAAAAAGGGAGAGAGAGCTGAACACAGCATCCATCTCTCTGCTCTCTAAGAGTGTGATGTGACCAGTCCCCTCACACTGCAGCCACCATGTCTTCCCCACAGTGATGGGCTGTGCCCTAGACCTGCGCAGCAAGGCCCTGTCCTTAAGCTGTTTTCTGCTGAGTATTCTGGCCACAGCAACAAGAGAGAGAACTAACCCAGCATTTCTGCAGAGTTGTCAAGAAGCTAAAGACTCTCACACACCTGGGAGAGATGCTTTCCCAGTTCACAGGTTTGAATCCGGAATGCCTCCCACCACAGATCCATGTTTTAAGTGTTTGTTCCCCTCAAAATGGGACTGGTTTTGTCCCTGCTTTGAGTATTTATTCCCCCATACAGTGGGGTTGCTTTTGGCCCTCATTTTAAATGCTTGCTCCCCTCACAGAAGCACCTTTAGGTGGTGAGACCAGGCTGATGCAAGTAGGCCCCTCGGGTGAGGCTTCTGTAGACTCACTCTGCTTCCTGATCCTCCAGAGAAAGTTTTTCTCCCATCCCTCTGGCCACACCTTCCCTACCACCTGTCCCTCTGGCCACGCCTTCCCTACATGATGGACTGGTATTTCTCTGAAACCATAATCTAAACCACATTCTTTCTCCCTTAATCTGCTTCTGTCTCGCATTTTGTCATGGCAACAAGGAGAGTGACTAATGCATTGTTTGCTTTTGCTTCTGTTGGTTCCCCCACCTCGGTCCTCCATCACCCGTTGACATTCTGATACCTGTGGCTTCACAGCCCATTAAGACTTCCTGACACAGAGCACAGCCACCTTCCACTGGGACACAGCACTGGGAATAGAAGAAGTCACCGCTGGAACGCGAACAGTGTTCGCCTGTGCAGGTTTGGAGTTGGGGGACGCATCGTGTCATTGCTAAGCGTCACAGCTGCAGACTGCCTCCCAATGGTCAGGAACATATGGAGCTCCTGAGAGCCACCATGCCCTGACACTGACCTTGCTCCAGGACTTTTCAGATAGCTCTTTGTGGGGCTGTAACCTTCCATGGCCTCATTACAGCATCCAGCCGCCATGCTCCTTCTGAAAAGCCCTCCACCAGAGTCTTGGCCCGGATACTCTGCTAACAGATTATTCACCCTCTGGCATCATTCAGGATGGTATCAGGACACCAAAACTTCGTTCTGGCATTTCTGCCTAGCAGAACCAAACTGAAAAAGAAATCACACAGAGAGACTAACAGTAGACAGGCTGATTTGAGTCTCTCTGATGCTACTTTAATTTCTGGAAGCAATCTAGCAGACTATTAAGAAACGATGCCCCCTGGATGAGTGGGGCCACTCATCCTGCCGGAACCTCAATTTTCTCTTCTGCAAACTATGGCCATGGGCCACATAGCCAGGGACAAGCATAAGTTACCCGGCACTTGGGAAGTGAGCCATGGCTGTTTGATTTAGCATTTGTTTAACATGTGACTACACATTTAAGAACAACCTAATTCTACACTGATTTTTTTTTAAAAAGTTATATGTTTTTCTTTAGGCATAGCACACAGTATTTATTACAAATAATTTTCCAAACCAAGTTGATAAAAACAGAGTATGTGGTAAAGTGTTTCAGATTTGCACAGTACAGTGAGCCATTTGTAACTAGCATCCGGGTAAACTGGTCAGACAAAGCCTACCTGTTTTGTTTTGGTTTGGGGATTTTGTTTTTGTTTTTTTAGGGCGTTTTATTTGGGGGCTGGCTGTCCTACCTCCACTCCTCCCTGTCCACCCACCTCCCCTTTCCCCCAGATCCACTCCTCCTCCATTTCCTTTAAAAGAGAGAGTGGGTAGGGAGGAGAGAAGGAAGGATATCAACTGAACACAGCATAACAGATTACAATAAGGCTAGGGACAAACTCCCATATCAAGGCTGGATGAGGCAAACCAGTAGGAGGAAAAGGGTCCCAAGCACAAGTAAAGGTGTCAGAGATACCCCCACTCCCACTATTAGGAGTCCCACAAGAACACCAAGCTATAGAACATAATATCTATGCAAAGGGCCTGGCTCAGAGCCATACAGGCTGCATGAGACTTCAGTCTCCGTGAGCTCCTATATGCTCTGCTCGGTAGATTCTGTGAGTCACGTTCTCACAGTGTCCTCGACTCCTCTGGTTCCTAGAATCCTTCCTCCCCCTCATCTGGTGGGAAACTTCTCTACAGAGCAAGGGTGTAAGAGAAACCAGGTCCCAGGCAGGGAAGGGGCTGGCAGTCTGGTCTTGCTCCAGTGCCACTCAGTACAGGACATTCAGATATTGGTGGAGCCCTTACAAGTGCCAGTAACTTTGGTTCCTGTCTTAGTTAGGGTTTCTATTGCTGTGAAGAGACACACGACCATGGCAACTCTTAGAAAGGAAATCATTTCATTGTGGTGCCTGGCTTACAGTACAGAAGTTCAGTCCATTATCATCACGGCAGGAAGCATGGCCGTGGGCAGGCTGACATGGTGCTGAAGAAGGAGTTTCAGAGTTCTGCATCTGGATCCACAGGCCACAGGAAGTGGTCTGACTCACTGGGTGTGACTTGAGCATCTATGAGACCTGAAAGCCCACCTCCACAGTGACACACTTCCTCCAGAAAGGCCACATCTACTCCAACAAAGCCACACCTCCCAACAGTGCCACTCCCTGTGGGGGCCATTTACTTTCAAACCACCACTGCTCGAACGTGCATCAAATGTAGCATCATGCTTGCATAGCATGCTAGAGACCAGCCCCTAGCCTTGAGCGAGGCCTTGCCTGAGTTTGCCTCCATCTAGGTGATAATTCTTTCCAACCAAGAGTGCACCTCTGAGGCTGAGGCGTGGTTCCGCAGGGAGAATATGGAAAGCAACCATCAATTTTCTGGTCTTTGTCTTGCACTGTGAGGTCAAAGGTATCTTTTGCTTGCTATTTTGCACTGAAGAACACTCAGTAAAGACTTGATCTCTCATGCTCTGATGTGCAAACACTGGACACCCAAAAGCATCATCTCTGACAGCTTTCCCATGTTTGCCCAATTACAGAAGGCACTCTTGTTCCCATGCCCTTGTTAGCCACCAACGCTCTCTCTTCTGCATCTCTTGCTGTCTCCTCCCATTTGTCCCATTTAATGTTGCTCCATCACAGGTCCTCCAAATAACAGGCAGCCTTGCTACTCAACTTCCATGTCTCCTTAAAGTATATATTTTTAAAAGACTTGAATACAACTTACCACTACTTCCTACTGAATAGCTTTCTTGTAGACTGTTTTTAATCGTTACCATGTTCCAAGAGAAAATGCCATGAATAAATTTACCTTCCACTCAAACGTGTTCCTTCCATATTTATCCCACGGGAATCTGAACACAAGTATAACAATGTAACCTTCTGCATGTTGTCTTTCTGGAGTTTTGCCTCACAAATCTTCACATTCTAAGCCCACATCCACCAGTCTAAATTAGCATAGAACACGCTCCCCTTGTCTGTGAGTGGTTCTTGCATTAAAAAAAAAAAATAGTCCTACCAAAACTGCAAAAATAACGTTAACACAATGTGGTGGTTTAATGAGAATGGCTCCCACGGGCTCCTGTATTTGAGTGCTTGGTGCACAGTTGGTGGAACTATCCAGAAGGATTAGGAAGTGTGGCCTTGTTGGAGAAGTAGTGTCATACAAAGCAAGCAGGCTTGGAGGTTTCAAAAGATCAATTTTGCCAGTTGTTCTCTCTCTCTCTCTCTCTCTCTCTCTCTCTCTCTCTCTCTCTCTCTCTCTCTCTCTCTCTCTCTC